GAAAGAAATGACACGCACCCAACCAACCGGTAAGTCCCACTGCAGCAGGGAATGGGAAGGTCCTTGGCTGGCAACATGCACACTACCTATCAAAAAGCAGAAGGAAGGAACTCAAGAGAGCAGGATGCAGAGGGACAGGCTGTGGGCGAAAATCTCCTGAAGGGCCAACTGCCTTCAGGAGAGCAAAGGCATTCCGGCAATGGCCTTCCAGTAGTGAAGGGTGTCAAGCAGTGGGCACAGGCCATTCAGCAAGTCAGAGAAAGGTAACTGATAAGGGATTAGAAAGTTAAATTCACTAGAGAAGTTAAACATTAACAGCAGGATTACTCAGAAACCTGAACAAGGAATTAATCAGCACTGGCAGACATCAAGATTTTCAAGAACAGAGAAAACCTAAGTTAGGTGAGCTCTGGATCCCCTCCAGTACAGTTGGTAGGACTCCTGTTTTAAAGCTGCTGTCAAAGACAGATGGCACAGACTGCCCAGTATTAAGTGGCATTAGGGTAAGTGTCAGATCCCCAGCCCTCTCCTCCTTCCTTTGACCTACGCTGCACTGGCAATGTGATTACTGAACAGGGTAGATTGTTTTCGCGTGGTAGGACAGCGTGTGAGTGACTGAAAACATGGAGTGACTTGGAAAGGCATCACATCTAAGACAAGCTGAGACACCTCAGAAACAGTTGCCCTCAGCCCTAATCTCCAAAGCTCTCTGCATATGACCCCTGACCATGAGAAAATGCTGAAGTGCTCCCTGCTCTGGCTAATCAGATAAGAACTTCCCTATCTGCACCAGTAAGAATTAAGCTCTGAGAGACTCCTATATTTAGCTAAGATTTCTTAGGGCCTACTCTTTATGTAGCTAAAAAAAACCACCCCAGTCCAGCATACCTATAGCAGTGCACACCTATGTCACCCACAGATGAGAACACATCTCTCCAGAGAAACCTACAAATATTTAGCAGCACATGAAAAAACATCCTTTGTCTCTACCTAATAGCAGAGAAAGCAAAATATGAAGTTCCTTCTCCCTGTTTTGTACTTAAAGGACATTTTTTTCAGTGTTCTCATTCTTTCTCTTCATCTCTTTAACGAAAGATGATGGTCAAATAGAAATCCACCATCCTTCCAGAGTTCCCACGCTTCCTTTAAAGTCCAAGGGAATTGGGAAGGCTGCTCAGTGACAAGCTCAAGTCACTCCTGACTATTCTGTGGCAGTCACCAGGGGGCCTTAGGGATACTAGCAGGGATCACAACTTATTTTAATTCCCTGTGTATCACTGAGCACATTGACAATGCTTTAAGTACCTGAATATGGAGCTGCCTCAAGATGATGGAAATCCTTGGGGTGTGCACAAGCGTATGTACGTACACACTCGTATTATGGATGCCTCAAAATCAGAATTAACAGTTTAGGCTGGCTGCCTCCGCAGGACAAGAACCTTTCCCCAGAGCAGACTATAGCAAGTTGGATTTCAGTTTATTTGGCTTTTCAGGAAGGAAAAAAGTGGAAAGTCACCTTAAAAAAATCCATCACCATCAAAAGCCATCTCTGGATAAGCTGTTCTAATATTTATTTTCCTCTGCTGCTAGGAAATAGCACCTCAGCCTAAGACTGAATTCACACAACTTCAGCTTCCAGCCACAAGATTCTAATGAGATTTTCATTATCATCAGGGTTATACCCAGTGCAGTTTTACAGTGAGATTTTAAACATGTTAGATCTTACACGTTTGCTGTACCCTTAGGAATGTTGTTTCAAGTGCAAGGGGACACCTCTTCATTATTAAAACAATGCCTGGCCCATGAGAGAGAACATTCCTGCAAAATACATCACAAGAACCAGTTTCCCAAGGAGCCATTTCCCTTCCTCCCAACTCCATCTGCATACCACAAATGAGCTCAATTCTGAGCTCATTCTGAACAGTCTCTCTCACAATAAAGGTACTTTCTTCCTTCTTCATGCAGTCCATCTTAGTGCAGAGGAAACTGAAACATCTAAAACGCAACTCATGGCAGCTCAGCTACGTGGAAATATTTTTTAGCACACAAAAGACAACCATAAAAGCTGCAGAGGCATTAACACTGAGTGATCGACAGTCCTAACTCCAACCCCAACTGATAAATGAGCAGTTATAAAGGCTTTACTAAGGGAGCCTTTGAATCAAAATTGTAAGCTCATATATTCAGTTTCTATCTAGAACTGGTGTCTCTGCTCTAAATTATCTGCAGTAAGTTCAAATCAAAGATGGAAAATTTCAGCAAAGGGACTGGAATTTTCAGTTGAACAGAATAAAGATGAACTTATTTTCCCAGGAAACAACCAAGTCTAAGATGCAAAACCAAACTGTTTAATTTACAATTAGGCTACTATAGTATACAACTGGTTTATGTAAGTTCCTCCCAGTATGATGAAAAGCCTCTCCTGTTCCATCCCAGCTTTTAACCTGACTAAAAAGATTGAAGGTATTTTTCTAGTAAGCAGATGTGGGTTTGCATTTTGCAATATTGTGCTTGGTGTCACTGACCTACAACGACTCCTATTAAAAAATTGGGGAAGGGGACTTGCTAATGCAGCTCATACATTCTGCCCTGTTCCTTCTGGAAGCAAAGCTGCTGTTTAATGCATTTCACTGAAAAATGATCAAGAATAAAGCTATTCGTAGGGAAATTACACCTGTTTACACCAGCCAAGAACTTCAACTTGGAGCTTCAATCAAGGTTGCAAAAGAACAAAGTAGTATCCATGCTAGGAGCAGCAGTATCTTAAAGGAGTGTGGGTTTGTAGACTCCAGACCAAGAAAACCATGTTCCTGGGATCACAGATAGCATTTGGAAGCCTTACATTTTCATTTCTGCTATTTATTGATAAGGTATAAAGATTAATAGCAAAATCTTACTAATCTAAGGAAAGACAGACAGGCTCAAAAGTGAGATTTTATTCATATTTGTTACTTATTCACAAGTCAAAGTATGATAAAACCTATAAAACCAGCCTAGAATAATGTTAGTTTACATCACTAAGTTCAATTCACATTTTGTTAATAAAATACTGAAAGGAAAATGACAACATTGCAGGTTCAGAAAGACATGTGGGCTACCAGGACTGAAAAACCTACACTATTTTTACTGGTCACAAATGGTTGCTTTTTAATGCTTATTATTTAAAATTAACACAAGTTACAAAATTCAGACACACCCAACTTCTGTGCTCATAAAATATATCTTCTGTCATATTAAATTCCAGTCGACTGGAAAGAATTATCTGCTGAGCTATTTCATTTCAGCCTGTATTAAAAGAATACCATGAGTACTCTCCCCCCCTGCACAGCCATGTAGCACTGCAGCCCCAGATGCACTTTGAGCCTTCCCGGCCAAAGAATTATCTCACAAGCCACTGTGCAAGCACACCGTGAGAAGAACAAACCATCTCTCACACAGTGGTGAAAACCACCATCAGGATACAGCCCCAATTCTATCCTCTGTGCTGGACATACAGACCTCAGACTCCAGGACACAAAATAAAGCAGTTTTCAGCTCTGCATTTTAAGGCAAAACCAAATCCACCTCCAGCTGAAAGGGAGATGAGTACCTTGAGCTGCCACCAATTCCCAAGAGCTGTAGTTGCTCACCGTTATGCAGAGATTGGTCATGCTTTGTGTGATAAGTTTTAACACCAACGTTGCGGCAGCATGTTACCACCCTACCACAAAGACAGCCACCACGGATTGACAACTCATATGCAGATTAAACAGCAATGCAGTAGCCAATAGTTTGCATGCAAATATCGTGTTGGACTGTTACAAACTCAGAACTAAAACTGTTACTTGTGTAAACAGAGGTTAGATAATGCTCTTCCATTTCTCTTTTTATTTTACATCCTTTTTGTTAAGAACAGATGGGGCCTCACAGAAGAAAGGAGCTTTACCAAACGTTAGACCTGGAATGACACAGACTTCAGTTACAAAGATTAAAACTAATCTGGTAAGGAAAGAACTCTTCCCCTACTATGAATTTTTGAAAGCCTCATTAGTAGCCTGACTCTCAGTCCAGAAGAGAGGAAAAACAAAACAACATTTTAATATACTGTACTGCAGAAAACAAGAAAAGGAATTCTTTTTAAAGAGAACAGAGACAGCCAAAGCAGACTGTATGGCAACAACTGTTCCTAGGGAAGGAGACAAGGGGGTGCGTGTGTATACATATATATGGCATAGTACCTAAATGCCCATCAAAACTGCTTTAACTGCCAATTTTTTATCAATGGGAGGTACTGGGAAAGAAATACATTCAAAAGTAATAGTTTGAGTAAATATGCTACAAGAAACAGAAAACAACCTGTCATGACTATACATGTACAAATCATCTATAACAAAACTTATTTACAAACATTTATACCTACAGACATAAAGACCAAGTTTAATACTTGTGAAGTGTATCTGATTGCTAGATCTGGACTGTTCCAATCTTTAGGAATAACAGAGTAACATTTCTACACTGCAGTAACCATATGGCTTCAATCATGTCTATCCTCAAGTCTTGAGGATCCTTTGCATCTTGTTGATCTGTAGCATAAAAAGGAAAACCTCCACAGGTATTTTAACTTCCACTTTAACAGGGACATGCAGCTGCTACCTGAGGCCCCCGCAGCACTCTACCCAACAAGCAGCCAACAAGCTAGAGCTGGCACTGTTACCAACTTAGCCAGTCAGCTTACAAAGCACTGATTTTGGATTCATTCTTCAAAGCATGTATTTCGTCATTTGCTACATTTTTCATTATAAAAAGAAACATTATATGAAATTCTGTATGCAAAAAAAACTAAGACCAAAATGATTAAAAATACACTAAGGTGGGCATAATTAGTAACTAAAAAAAAGCTAAAGTCGTATTTATTGAACTCAACACTTAGTCATATAGGTAATTGCCCTTAAAGCCTAACAACCAGACCAGTTCACAAGTACCTAAAGTTGCTTACATAATTAAAGGAGTAAGATGTAAAGTCAAAAAAATAGATTTTATCCTTTCAAGATCAGGAAATAAAATGAAATGCTGGTTCTGTAACAGTGCAACAACTGCAGCATATTTTGCACGCAGCACATCATTTGCTACATTTAGTGGCACTTAAGTATTATGTGGTAAATACTGAAAGTAAGACAAGTTTCTGATCTGCATAAGCATAATCACATCATTATTACCAGAGTTGCTAAGCTACAGCATTCCGAATAATACCAACTCAATTTTAGCACTTCGATCACTAGCCTTAATAGATGTCAACGTCCTGCTTTACATCTTGCTAAGAAAGCAATCACTGAAGCCAAGCATTTAATGAACTTGCCACGAGGCTTGGACCAGGTTCAATCTGACCAGTCGTTCTCATCAAACTCTGAATCATCATCAGAATCACTGTACTCCACAGCAATTCGTCTCGAAAGGATGGTCGCCACATCATTTCCAACAGGCTCTCGCTTTGCTTCTTGCTCACGTTGCTCCTGCACCTTTTTCAGTTGAATTCCTGTAGAGACAATTACTCTCAAAGTTTTCTCCACAAGAGATTTTAAATTTCGTATTGTTATTGGTAAGGTTTTTGTATTCTAACAATATATTCAGGAAGAAGGGGGAAAAGGGAAAAAGAGTAACCATTTAGTTAGAGAGCCTCCCTAAGCCAGGAAGAGAGACAAAAAGGCAGACTGAAATCCATTCTCAGAGACCGAATACTTATAGACTCCTAAAATTGCCAATGCTATGTTAGAACTACATATTCAAGTCTGTACAGGTTCTTTTGATCTGAAGATGAAGTTTTAATAACTGTATTTGGAAATACCATTATACCTACAACTGCATATTGTAAGCAGAGTCACGAACAGCTCTCAGTCACTGGTTAAAAATCAGCAAATTGAAGACTGGTGTTGGATAACTCTGTTCTGCTGAAAAACCCATATACTTCTACCGGCTATTTTACATAATGAACACAAGGACTGTTTTCATTTGATTATGCCCACACAAACCCTAGAACATATTTGATAGAACTGTTACATCTTTAGGCATCAGGAAGAGATCCCAAGTCAGGGCTGACAAATGTTAGTGTGTGGTACCTGAGGTTACCTAGTCTCTCAGTGACATTCTGCCCAGCTGGGAACAGAAGCCATGAACTCTGTTCACTGGAAAATACGGTGCTTTCACTGAAACAAAGAACTAAAACTCAGTGCCCACTTACCCATCCGAATGGCAGCAAGAAGGTCGCTCCGTGCATCACTTATCGGGGGCTGTGTGGGTTCATGACGTTTTGCCTCCGCAGCTGGAGGAGCATGCATTGGGGAGGAAGAGAGGGAAGAACCTGTGGCAGGAGGGCCTGGAGGGGGAGGAGGTGGGCCAGGAGGAGGAGGAGCAGTGACAACAAGCCCACTAGAAGGAGGAGGATGAGTAGCTGCATATGTGGAGCCCATCACTGGTCCAGAATGGGAAGGTGGCACAGGAAGCTGAAGGGGACTAACAAATGCAGTTTGTGCTGAAGGAATCATAGGAGGCGGAGGAGGAGGAGGGGGAGGACCTGTAGGATTGTAATAATCCACCATCTGAGCTGGAAGCATCCTATATAAAACCAAACAAAAACATTTAATGAATTAAAAGTTGGGACTTACAGAATGATCACCCCTTAAACTGCTCTCATCCAACCACAGCTAAAACAAAAACCAAAAGGAATTTAAACTGGTGAGTTAAACGTGCAAGTTATTATAAACATGAATTGACAAATCTTGATAATATATTGCGATTTAAGGCAGATGAAGTTAAAAGCAATGTGCTTTCAGCACTCCACAAGGTGAGGTTTTTATATTAATACTCCTGCCTAATTAAGATAAAGCTGTATTTGTTACTAAACATCTACTCTCTGAGAATGTTAAGTACAATGCCTATGATGAAGAATGGACTGAGAAAACTGTGGATTATGTGTATCACTTCCATAGAAGAACGTAAGTGTTAGAACAAATATTAAAAGATAGTAAAAGACACAGGCATGGAGGACAATGGGAAGTATGACTGGAAAGATTTACCCAAAGGTATATCATGCATCTCAACAGCTGCTTTAGTCAAGTCTATCAATTTAAATATTATAAATATTATAAATTGATACATTTGATTGATACTTTGAAAAGGAGGAACAGGGAAGAGCTGATTTCTTTGTTAAAATGGCATTAAAATAATTCTTAAGCAGAAGAAATGGGAATTAATGTAAGAGTTATGAAGTAGGTAAAGAACTAGATATAGGAGACAGGAGCTGAAGGGAAGTTACTGATGAATTCAGTGATACACGTCAATGTATGATATGACAACTGTGATACACTGACAGTGGTCATGTACCTGGGGGACTAAGCACAACTATTTCTCCTATGGACTGGAAATTACAGAGAAAATGCAGGTTGGAGCAGTCAATCATGGCATAACTGAGTCATCTTCAGCATGATACCATCATGAATCAAGCAAATGCTATTCCAGGATGCATCAAGTGAGGCTGAAAAACCTTGGCTTGCTTAGCCTTGCACCATAGGCAAGAATGGTTATAACTTTCCTTGGGGTTGTAACTTCTAAGTTTAAGCTGTTTAAGCACAAGAAGACACAGGCACAGAGTGGTTTGAAAGCAGGTATTTGCTTGCTATCAGAGAGCCAGTACTCTGGCACAAACCTTCCTTCAGAACGCATTCAGACAAAATAGCTACATAGGAGTTTGGCAAATTCCTATCTTGAGCTATAGAGGTGTCTGTGGCGATAGGGAGCTTGATTCTGTGTCTAAGCAGATCTGTTCCAATTCTGCCACAGGCGCCTTTAAAAAGCTATTTCAGGGATGCAACACAGACTGACATGTTACATTCAGCAACACTTTTTCTGCACATTTCCTGAAGTTTAGAATATTATTGAAATTATCTAACTATTTTCCAGTTTAAAGGAAAATTAACCACTTCTTAATTTTGTATTAGGTACCCTTAATATTTCGTAAGCATATTGTTTTCACCACATTCAATACACAGTTCATTATTTCTGCTTTCACTATTCCTTCACTTAAATTCAGTTCATACATAGAAATGATATAATTTTTTTCCTGTCCTCTTCAGCGAGGTAACTAATGTATGTTGTGTGTGTATGATTATATATTACGATGGTCGTGAAAAACATGCATCCCTCCAGTTTCGTCAAGAATCCACTGGAATAAATCAGGAATTTTACCCATATTCTGCTGGTACCACAGGTACTGAGCTATGCTGGCCATCAGAAGGCTGGGGTGGAGGTGGAGGTGGTTGCTGAGGTCTGTTTAAAGTAGCATGTCGTACAGTGGTGGAAGGTGGTCTGTATTCATGCTCATGGCTTTGGGATGCTGCCATGTACTGTGGACCATCTCCCGTTCCATATGAAGGCATTGCTATCTGCTGATGGAGGGAATGATTCGGAGTAGCAGGATAAGAATAATCTGTAACATCAGATGCATGGGACCTAAAATTGAAGTAAATGGATGCAGAAGAACAGATTATGTGAGTGTAATAGGGTATTATCTAAATAGCTCACATGAAAAGCTAACAAGAATGCAATCAGAACTACTTTTCTTGCAACAGGACTCCCTGGTTATCAAGCACCATTCCCTTGTAAGTCTACAGGATGCACAAGAACAAATGCAACAAAAAAAATCATGTTCAGCTTAACATGACTTGAAAATAAATTAGTCTGACAAGTCAGTACAAGAGGACTGAAATTGAGTGTCTGGACTATTTCAGCATACTGCTGCCTCCAGCATGTCCTCTTATAATGTAGACTTTAAAAAAGGCAGTAAAAATTTAGAGCTTTCTCCAGATTTTAGACTTCTTTAGCAGTCATAAGGAGGCATACTGGGTTTGTCAATGATTTTGACAGTCCATTGTTTAACATGCTAATACTTACCAGGCCTGCCTGAAGTTAACGATGGCAGCAGAAAAGGAAAGCAATACTGCAAGCACTCACAATTATGCAGAAGAATATATTACCGAAGCAGAGAAAACCAATTTCAAAAGTTAGAAAATGCTTTTTATTTTGTTTGCACAATTAATTTTACTAGAAAGGCTTAGAGAAACTGGGAAATGTAAATATTAGTTGAGCAGAGAGTTCATAAAGATACAAAGTCTAGGATGCTCTGTCAAATAAGCCCAAGAGAGGGAGCAAAAGGATCTCTTCATCCCATTACTGCAAACAGTTGTTTTAGTAAGGAGCAATCGTGCAGCCTGGCTTTTAGTGAACACAGTAAACTGATGCACTTATCTGTAAGACTGGAAGCAAGGTAAGCAACAAAAAGCCAGGGCTTTGAGTAAAACAAAACAACAAACCCTTTCGGCATTTTGTCCTCTTTCATGCTTCCTGCCTGTTCCATTTTCTTTGCGTCACTCATGAACTCAATGCCCATTTTCCTTCTCTCCCACTCTTCTTTTCTTGTTCTTACTTTTCTCACATTAATTTGCTGGTTTCTGTTTGGGTTCAGCTTGTGTTTCTCTCTCTAAAGCACAATAAGTATAACAAATATATTGTAAATCGCCACAGTCTGGACACTTGGATGTCGATGTTTAATGCATGAGCCTTGCAGTTAGCAAATGAGAAGAAACATGAGCTTTTTTACTTTAGTGTTAAAAAAAGAATCCCAATATAGCCAAGAACACTTCTTCAGGACCTTGTTTATAAAACACTGCTCATGGAGTACTTGTCAGCATAAAAACCATCTCCGAAAACAGTACTTACTTCTACATATATGGGGCCTTAATAGCTTAATTCCTACAGCTAAGAGTACCCCAAGATAAAAAATTGAAAGCCTTCTCTCCACCTCACTACCACTCACAAAATCAACACTTCATGAATGTAAAACAGAGATTTCAGGATTCAATCACTGGCAGTTGATGCTCTGAAATTTGACGTTCTCCATACATCACAGAATTTGAAAGGCTTATATAGGTACAAGGTATCCGTCACATTACTACATCTTTATCAGACAATGATGCATCCTACAATTTCTGCTTTAAGAAAAACAAAATCCTACAGATTGCAAATATTATGGATATCTGAAAACTGTCAAATACAAGTTGACTCTGCAGGGAGATGAAAACAAATCATTTCAATATGCTCATTTAAGCTCAAGAATCCTGGAAGCAAGGTGCAAAGGCTAGAAAAAGACTTAACAAGTGCGAGATGCAGAACTCAGTGAAAAAATCCCCATCTCGCACTTGACAGCTGAACATCAATGTCATCTTACCAGACCAACCTATGGAAAGCACTGCCAACCTGCAATGTTGCATTAAAACTAACAGGAGACAACGTTTTGCATTAGAAACTGTAACAAAATTGGTGATTAAAGGATTTTAGACAGAGGGGTCTGAAAATATCAGTGAAACAGCAGCAGCAATTTTCTTTGTTTTGATTATGGGATGTTCACTCTTCACAAAGACCAGCCATTAACATATACAAAGTTCTGAGCAGATTTTGTTGTTGTTAATTATCTCCAGTAGAAAATGGACTAAAGGTTTCAGGCCACACCTCTGCAGTGGTGGCTGCTCCCTCAACCTAGCCCTTCAGCAATCTGAACAATAAATTGTCATACACTTTTCCCAGTAGATTCTATTTATTCCTAACATTATTGCTAGTAATTAACTGACAGAGGAAATAAACTAGGTGGGAAAAACCTCCAGTGCAACCAGCTTAGTGAAAAACCTCAGACTTCCATGCACACCAGGAGAAAGTAACTCCCACTGAGCTCAAAGGGAATCTCAGTCAACGAAGATGAATTCTGCTTGCTGCGTGTCTCTAAGCAGAGATTTCTGCTATTTCAAGCAATAATGTTGCATCTAGCTTTGTAGCTTGCTTTTTAGGCAAATACAACATCAATAGAGCTGAACCATTCCCCCATTAAAGCATTGTTAGAGGCAAAAATAGGCTCAACTGAGTAGATCACAGAAAAATACTTAAGCTATCAGCAGCATACTAGACACAAAGGAAGAGGTACTGACATTATCTAGTAGAAGCAGACTTAAATGTTTTGTAACTACAAAAAACCTCTACAGCTACTCGAGATCAAATATAAAGCATGCAGCAAACACCTCTTTCACTACAGTGCATAACATTATGATGACAAAATACTCATCTAAAGCTGAGGAAGAAAGAATTCATTACAGAATTTGCTACTTATGCTTGAGAATAATTTTGAGAGGAACTTTAAAACATGCATTGTATATTTTGTCTATTCTAACTATTCCCAACCTGTAAAAACACCTAATTCTACTTGGCATTTCTGAACATACAACTGTGGTATAACAAACAGCTTTGCTGTACACAGACCTAGTATCTGGGGACAGTGATCCCTCGGAAGATGCTCCATGGTACACACTTTGAGACAACCTGTTGTCAGGTCTAAGCTCTTTGTCATATGCCATCATATTCCACTCCTGGCGTCTGTTCCTGGCTTTTCTAACCTTTTTCACCTCACGGGTGGTGCCATCTATACGTTTTTGCTCCTAATGTTCAAACAAAAGAAATAAAGCATGCAAAGAGAGAAAAAAGGAAAGGAAAAAAGCTGGTTAAAATGCAGTTAGAGTGCATGAAAATAAGACCAGATTTACAGATGAAGCCAAGTCTTCACACAATTTCTCTGCACTGAAAATGAGTATCTCCTTACACTGTGAACCTCATTAGTAGTAAGACTTCTGTTCTGCCCTTCTGTAGGATGCACATGCTAGTCTGATAACCAACCTACTGTTTTTCCCAGTACAGGAATGTGACTGATTTTAAAAGCCAGCAAGTTTAACTTCTTCTGACATCATGTGCCATTGATTTAGACTGTCCTGAAGCACTTGTAATTTCCTTCTCCTGCAAATCAGTCTCATGAGAGCATGTTAAATATGCCTAGGGTTATTTTGGATATTTGTTAGGGTTGCAATCACACCCAAGGCCTTGGGGATGCGTGGAAAAATTAGAAACTTTTCTATTTCATACTCTATGTGAAACTACTTTTGTTTGTTTTAAATTCCTCTCCCTTCTTCCTACTTTTTCCTCATCATCGTCTCCCATTAGCTTGTATAAAATGAATGACACTAATCCTCTCTGCAATGTGTCAGTACCATTCAGGCCAGTGATATGTTACAGCTTGATAGCTCTGTGACAAATCAGTCTGTTTTTTCATCTTTCTACATAATTTCAGGCTCAATGAATGTCAGTGTTCATCTACCAGGAAGATCTCCTAATAGTGGGACTCAACGCTTTCACACCTCTGAAATGTTGTCCTCACCTACTTCTGACTCCTCAGTATGAACAGAAAAACCATACTGATGCTTCAGTAGAAAAATAAACAAGTCTGCTCAGTCCAACCTGAGAAGGGTACTTATGTGCTACTCTTTCTCTCTATTTATGAGGGCGTTGAGTATTTTTTTTAATCAGCTCTAGAGCCTCCATCTTAGAATACTAATTCATAAATGGGTTAATCATGTTTTATCTATTAATAAGTCAGTATTAGGCTTTTGGCTGCTAGAAAAATAGTTTCTCAGCAAAGAACTATATTGATATTCTGCAAACAGTCATATTCAATTGTAATTAGAGAAGAGTTTGGCAAAATGCTGATATGGAAGCATTTTACTGTGGGATCTCTACCTTCAAAGTAAGGATAATAGCTGGACGAAAAAGAAACAAGTACACCACAGATGAACACAGGTATTTTACTCCAACTGTCAAACAGCACTGAGTAAATAATGCTGAAATTGTAACTGGCATCATACAACTCCAAATAAATAAATAAATAAAAATCTATCAAACTGCTTGCTTGACCTTGTTTTGGATCTCTTGCTTGTTCATGCCATGTCCATCTGAGGGACCTGATGATCCACATCCACTAACACTAAGACTGACAGAGAAGTCCTTTTGTAGTTCAGCAGCCAAATGTTCTGACAGCACTTGCTCATTCCTCGCCCCTTCAGTGAGCAGGTTTTTGATCTGATTCATGCTCAGTACAGATCATCACCTCAGTTCTTAATTACTTCCGAGAAAATCTTTTCCCTCCCCAAACTTTTAGAATTACACCCTTTTTTATCCAGGTTACACAAAGTTTGACCTTATCCTTTAATACCACTTCTTTGCACCAAAATTTCCCAGTATGGGAGGAATTGGAGCAGAAGGGAGACAGATTCAGTCATGCTTCATTTTAAATACATCAAGTTTTGCTAATCACCATGGTTGAATATATGCTTGTTAAAGGCTTGACATCTGCCTTTTTGAACTGATTGCTGCAAAATTTGGTTAATTTGTGAGTTTTATCCTGTTTCATTTATTAAGATTTTGTTACTAACTCATGCTAGATTTGAGAGGAAAGAACAAGTAAGCCCTTGGCTAACTGCAAATAAACTTCAGTTTTCTCACAGAACAGTAACTCCACCCTTCAAGGGTCACAATTCTTGCCAGTACATATTTCTTGCCAGTTAATATCCATCTTTTGACCAATGTATGCTGCTGCTTGGAAGAAAATCATTTTGATACAATTCCTGTACAATCAGGAGTGCTTACATGACTGCTTATATATAATCACCTATTTAAAAGTTTGTTTTTAAAGAGATTAGTATGTTTTTCATGAAAAAGGTAAATACATAAGCATGCATAAACAAACAACATAAAATAACCACAAAGCTTAGTTTGTTTTTATTGGATCAGATTTCTGTTGGATAGATTGTTTCAGACCAGCACCTGTAGGTGTGCTAATATAATAATAAATAGTCTGGAAAATTTTAACTCAAAGCAGAACTAAACCCTACCAGTATTTATTTTATAATAAGCATTTCATAATTATATCTCTAAAACATTTAATCCCTTCCAAAACAGTGGGGCAGGCCAATTACTAGCAGCTGACAAACTAACTACATATATGTCTACTTGAGTAGTTTTACGTTGTTCCATTAATACTTTCATTACCTTGGCAAACAACTGACAACTCTAGCTTTAGTACCTAGGGCAATGCCAACAGAGTTCCAAGGAGCTGAAGCCTTTCAAATTAACCACAGTTAGAAATATTTCTTAGGAAGGTTAAGCAATATTAAGAAGAGTTTATTTCCTTTAACCAAGCGTAATAGAAGCTGTGCCAGACAAGTGGATGCTGCAGGTGAAGCCAGAAAGTGGGTACATCATTCAGCTGCTGGCAGGAAGCGATTTCAGCAGATACAACAAACGTATCACAGCCTTCAAACAGGGTTAAGTTAATGTGAAGTTTGATATTTGCATCAAGAGTTAGCAAATGATATTTCAAGCATCTTAAAAAGGATTTAAAGGTAGTAACAGAAAGGACCGTCAGCAAGTATTTGCAATACTTTAAAAAAACTGGAAGCATGAGCCCACAGTATATTCCTGACTTCACAAATCCACAAGATCCTACTGATCCCAAAGTCATGAAGAAAGGTTTTTGAAATACAATCCCTCCAAATTTAAAAGATTTCTGCTTATTTAAATAAGCAATCATTCCTCAGAAAATATGGGGAACAATAAAACACCAAGTAGAACAACTTTCCTTGGTTAACCAGTGGTTAATAAATGGTCTACTATGGTCATTCAGTTCAGAGTATTACCAGCATATGCAAAAGTCAAAACTAACTTCATTGAACTCTGAGGTACTGATCTACTGCGAGTTTGACGCCAAAGACAAACCAACGAACCAACAGAGAGTACACCACAGATCTGAACTTAGAATTAGTTTTCTTCAAACAAAACATTCACCTGAAACAGCCAAACTGGAGAAAGCCTGTGCTAGATTTCTTCAGTTAAACTGAATGCAGTAACAATAAGTACAATATTTGAAGGCAAGAAAAAGAAGCTCACAAACCTTTCGCTGCAACAGCTCGAGCATTTAAAACAAATTACCAAAATAATATTGGAAAACTGATGCTCTGGTGCAAGAAGTGCTCTTAAGCTTTACTGACCTTCTGAAAAATTGATGCTAAAAACCACCTGTACTTGGTCAGCTGAGTAGGTTTGCATTTGGATGTTTAGTTAATAAATTGCTAAACAATAGACATCTATTACACCTGCACAGCTTCTCAACAACTTTCATATGTTGTCCTCCTGTACAGTACAGACTGCATAAATGTTGCCTAAAATATAGTCTAAAAGAAAGTTTTTATATAACAAAATGGTTTTCTAAAATCTCTCTAATGGTGTTAAAAAACCCCAACTCTCAGTACTTTTAATTTTTAAAGCTTTTGTATTTTTTTCTTTTTAGTATTAAAGCAGACTTAAAAAAAAAAAGAAAGCAAGCAGCTGATAGTTTCTTTTATCCCTCTGTAATGAAAAGATCTAAGTTTGAAGGGAAAAAGGTGGGAGGAAAAAACCCAAAGGGGGAAATTATGCCTATATATTTTTCATAAAGAAATACTGAATGAAATCTAAAAACCCCCAACTAAACTAGAGAATGAAAATTGCTTTATTTCCAGTCTTTCAATCAGCTCCGTGACTTATCACACTGAAAATATAGTAGGATTATAACCTTGCTTATATATTTGAATTCAATTATACAAAATAACCAAGTGACTATTTTCCAATACTGTGCTTTAGACAGTAACTTCTACTGGAAGTATTCACCCAGCTTTTTCAGCCCTATTTAATATGTCAATACTGAGATACCTGTCAAAACACACATTTCTGATTCATACTCCTGACAGGATGACCTGATTTATTTCTTCCAGAGCTTTTATAATCATTAATTCACAACATGTTTTAGTTAAAGCAAGTCTTCATGTTTTGTTTAACAATGCTGCAGTCAAAGTTTTGTGTAGCAACAGGGACAAGGAATTAATACAATTTTATAAAAACAGAATAGCAACACTTCCCAACCATGCCCTACAATTTGATTTCCAAGCAGGTATCATATATATTAGCATATATATACATACACACATGTATTTTACACATGATGAATATAAACAAATATACATTAGCATGTATATTCACATATTAGACACTGTATATACACATGTATATATATGATATATTCTGATAACTGCTTATATATATGCATTTATAGGTATGCCAATATATATGTGTATGTGTACAAAAAACTAAGTAGCTTCTGTCTATTTCCCCTGAGCAATCTTATCCAGACTCCTTTTATTTCAAATGCCTTATCTCTCACTGAACCTATCTAAAAGGGCCTTTTCTGTCAGGTAAAACAGTAATCATCACTTCAAACTTTCCTCCTTCACTTTTTCTTTTAGAATTATCTTGAATAATCTTAAAGCCCTCAGATTTGATAAAAAAAAAAAAAAAAAAAAACTGCAAACAGGCTGTACAAGTAGCAAACGATTTCTTCATTCAGAACTAAAATCCATTCAGAAAAATCTCAACTGCATCGGGATATACATCTTGGATCAAACTGCTGAAGGTATTTCAGAAGCACTTAAGACACTTTTCTATGACAAAGCCTTTTTTTGTTGGTTTTAAACTTGGAGGAAACAAAGAACATCACTCCTAAAATGAATCTTCTCTTCCTGATGACCCACAGAATCATTCTGAGGTGTATTATCATCTTACCTTACTAATTTGCAACAGGTATAGAAAATTGGAGAGTTTCAATCAAGGAATAAAAAAACCTGAACAAAATCAGCTCATGTTTCACTGCAGGAGCTGATACTACTAGATAAAGACCTATGAAAACAAAGGAAACCATAATTCGAATTCCTTTCTCCACCCCCCCAAAAAATCACAGTATCTTTTTCTAAAGCACAACAGGGCCATTTTGCTGAGTTCTAATATGCAGATGCTGGCAAATGATTACAGAAATATGTTGGAAAATAACTACAGTACTCTTAAAATTCAATTTGCAACTTCCTTAAATAGACAGTAGGGGCTATAAAAAACAAACCATCTGAACCTACAGCCACATCTAAAGAGGAATACTCTTTCCATGCACATAAACTAAGTATGACCTAGCAATTTTTATGCCTGGACAACCACACACAAACCTGTAATACACACTTCTGTTACTACGTTTTCTGTTTTTACCTTTTGTCTCCTCTTTTCTTTTCGCTTATCTTCAGTATCTTGTAACATTTTTTCTTTCCAAAGATCAAAAAAATAGGAAGGATCAGTATAGAACTTCAATCCATCTTTCTTATCATCCCTGGAAATACAGGAGAAGAAAAACTAAGACAATACGAATTAGTAACTTTCAAACCAACAAAACTCACCTTTGGCAGTCATCCAAGATCCATCTTTTTTTCATGACAGGATTCCAAGTGCATTTAATGCCACTCTTGGCAGCTACAGCTTACAATTGGCTTGATTCATGCCAAAAATTTCAGCGGAAAGGGGTGGAACACACAGCCTTTTGGGCAGCATGCTCATCAGCCTCATCAGAGCTCAGCA